CTTTCTTTCTTTCTTTCTTTCTTTCTTTCTTTCTTTCTTTCTTTCTTCATTTTGTGTATGTATGTGTGTATGCACGTGCCATGGATACATGTGTGTGTGGAGGTCAGGGGTGTACGGAGGTCAGGGGACAATATTTTCAGAGTTGGCTCTCTCCTACCGTATGCACCCTGGGATCCGCCTCAGGCTGTCGGGCTTGGCAAGTGTCTTCAGCGGCTGAGCCATCTCACCATCCCTATATGGAAGTCTTTTTTTTCCAAATTAGTTTTTAATCTGAGTGCATGGGTATTTTGTCTGTATGTGTGTCTATGTACCATGTACATGCCGTGCCTACAGAGGCTGGAAGAGGAGTAAGATCCCCTGGACCTGGGGTTATAGATAGTTGTGAGATGCCATGTAGGTGCTGGCAATTGGACCCAAGATCGCTGTAATAGCAACAAATGTTCTTAACCCCTGGGCTGTGAGTGCCCCCCAAACCCCACCAGAGGATTTTAAAAGGCCAGGATGACCTTACTGTCATCATGGTCCAGCAGAGGTAGGAAAGTCCATCAGACCGAGCCTGGGAGCCTGGGGAAATTTTTAGTATAATGGTCGTGATGCTAAGAGCATCTTTTGCTGGCAACCATGACCCCTCAAAGAGTTGTTACCTGGGTGCACGGTCTGTAAGTGGGAATACCAGAGTTGCCAGACCAAATGGGGATGAGCCATTTAGAGGAAATTAGGGGTATATGTGGAAGGGACAGAGAGAAGAAAGAGGGAAAAAAACACTTCCTCATTTCTCTTTTCATTATGCCCCAGAATCCCAGGCGCTTCTCGGAGGCACGGTTGTCAGAGGAGTTAGTTGGGAGAATTCTCTTTGCCTTGGAGCTAGGTAGGAAGCTCACAGGACAGGCAATAGATTGTGAGCTGCAGACTCCTGGAGGGCAGGCTCTGGTTTTAGGGCCGCCATTTTCTAGTCTGGGCTTGTCCTTGGAACTGGGAGGCAAGTTTTCAATCCTGCACACCTATGATCTCATGTGGTATGTGTGCTTAACAGTTATGTGAGAGCACTCTACCCTACAGATGAGGAATCAAAGGTTTATAAGGTCAGACAACTGGAAACTAATCTGGAGAATTCTCTAGTTCTTGGCAACTTAGACTCCACCTCCCTTTAGAGGATCCTACAGAGGAAAGAGGTGGAGATGTGTCAGCAAGCAGGTAGGAGGTGCTGGTTCCCATCCTTCTGGTCATTAAAGCCCTGGCAAGTGTTGTTAAATGCACCATTAGCTGAAATATTTAAAGCAATGAGAGGAAGTGCCAGGAAAGCCAATGTATACAGAAACAAAACTGTACTGTTGCCCCTGTTGTTGGAGGTGATTGTCCTGCCTCTATTGTCAGGGGTAACCATCCTTCTCCTCGTGTCATTAGGGATGACTAACCTCAAAGAGAAGGTCATTCTCTGCCCCGAAATGGTCTGTTTGCTCAAAGGAAGGGCATAGAGCCCTTCTAACAAGTCATGAGCTCAGAGACTCCTAGCACTGAAGGAACCCCATGGCCCATTTCATGCCGTGGAGGTAAGACTGACAGATGCTTGGATTGTACTTTCCCTCACAGACAGATGGCTTCCAGGTCAGTGTGCCCAGCAACTCCCTGATGGGAAGGAGGTGGTTAGAATGTTCTGGTGTAGATCCCGGGGCTACACTACTCTTCTAGCTTTGGCCATGGGCATCAGGGTTTGTCCTTCTAACCTGAGAACATGCTAGGCCGTGAGGTTAAGAGGGGTTTCACCTCACACCAGAGGAGCAGTGCTATGGGATACAGGAATGGCCCTTGGTCTGTGACAGTCGGCCTCAGAACAGCTAGGAGAACAGATCTGCTGTAAAATAGAAAAGGGAGAATTTGGGGTGAATGGCAGAAGCTAGTGAGTGACAAGTGACTGTCTAGGGCTGCTCTGTTCTTGGTGCTCAGGGACACATGTCCCTGATGAAGAACTGAGCACAGTGTGTGTGCTGGTTAGGGTTTTTTTTTTTTTTCAACTTAACACAAGCCAGGGTCACTGGGGAAGAAGAAAAATTAGTTGAGAAAATGGCTCCATCAGATTGGCCTGTGAACAAGTCTGTGGGGCATTTTCTTGACTAATGATGGACATGGGAGGGCCCAGCCCACTGTGGGAGGTGCCACTCTTGGATAAGTGGTCCTGGGAATAAGGAAGCAGACTGAGAAAGCCGCATTCCTCCATGGCTTTGCTTCAGTTCCTGCCTCCAGGTTCCTGTCCTGACTTCCTGTCATGATGGACTGTGACCCGGATGTGTGAGCTGAGCAAATCCTTGACTCCCAAGTTGCTTTCGGTAATGAGCTTTGTCTGAGCAACAGGAAGGAAACTAAGATAGCCCACTGGGCTCTTTAGAGGTGTGTCTCATCATCATCTGGCATGTCTGTCCTGTGTCTAGCGTCTGTGGACCTGCCTCTAAGGGCCAGTAGAGCCCCCATCACTGACAGATAGCAAAAGCTCCATGCATAGGGGCAGTACCCACCTCCTTCCTCAGGTAAAGACCACAGGTAGATCCACCCTGTTTGTGTTGGGGGATGAGAAGAGGCCTTTGTGTGTCAGTTACAATCCTTGTAGTTTTGGTTGACCTCTGACATGAAGCAACTTAGTGGAGGAAGTGTTCATTTTGACCTTGAGGGGCTACAGTCTGTGAGGTCGGGAGCTTGAGTGGATGGTCACTCGGCGCCCACAGTCAGGAAGCAGAGAGAGATGACTGCTGGTGTTCAGCTCACCCACCATCTCCTTTTTACTCAGTCAGTACCCCAGGCCGTGGTACTGCCCATATTTATGATGGGTCTTCCCACCTTAATTAACACAATCTAGACGGAAATGCACAAACACAGTCAACATTGTACATCACAACGCATCACACCTGGTGACTTTTCCCTTGAACACTCTACCTTTATTTGTTTGATCAATCTATTAATTTGTGTGTATGTGTGTATGTTTTGTATGCAAGCACATGTCTTAGCACACGTGTGAAGGTCACAGGACAATTTGCCAGAGTCAGTTCTCCCCTACCATCATATGGGTCCTTGGAATCGAACTCAGGTCTCCTGACTTGGCGGCAAGTACCTTGACCTGTTGAGCCCTCTCACCAGCCCCTGAAGTAGTTTAAAGGTTAGAAACAGATTGGTTATTTCATTAGAACTGCTCAGACCTGCTGCATTAACATTTAGTCTCTTCGTATCTTAAGACAACTTACAAAAACTTCTTTGAGGATGGTAGTATTTTAAGAGACCTACTATGTGTGGCTGTTCAAGCTTCAAGTTTCTGTGTAGTCTCCTTCTAGTCCTGACTCTACAGGTACATACTGTGAACTTCAGTATCAAAGATTTGCTTGCCCAGACATAACAGCGTACCCTGCTTTCTAGGGCTTCAAAGCTGTGCTCTCCAGTGTGTTCTGTAATGTAAACACAACACAACACAACACAACACAACACAACACAACACAACACTGATCTTGAAGCCAATGGGAGAAGTTGGCCTCCAGAGTCTCAGGGTAACTGAACAATAATTCTGCCGCTGGAGACTGCTGGAATTAGGGCTCCAGACGTGGTTCCCTAGAACTTTCTCTAATGGGTCTTGGAAGAATCTTGTTTTGCTGTCGTGTTAATTTTTGTGTTGTGATTCCTTCACAGACATTCATGGTGTTGAACAAGAAGAGAACAATCTATCGCTTCAGTGCCAAGCGGGCCTTGTTCATTCTGGGGCCTTTTAATCCCATCAGAAGCTTAATGATTCGCATCTCTGTCCATTCATATCCTTTCTCTAAATTTAGGCTGGGAAATCTGTGCAAGCCCAGGGTCCATGTGTGTTCTATTGCCATTATTATTGTTAATTTGCACTATGGTCTCACAGCTCAGGCTATTCTCAAAATCCCTATGTAGCAGAAGATAACCTCAAACTTTTGACCTTTCCCAAGTCCTAGGATTATAGGAACATGCCTCCATACACAGTTTACCCAATGCTGGGGGTTGAACACAGGGCTTCAGTATGCTAGGCAAGCACTAGACCAGCTCCAGTTTCAGTGGAAGCAAATAGTCTTTGCCCCTGGGGTGTGTCTGGCACTGTGTGGGGTGGTAAGTGTGTGAACTGCAGTGGCCCAGGAGCCTTAGCTTCAGGAGACATGCCCAGAGGTATTTGAGTCTAAGTGAGCACAGAAGAGGCTAGGTCATTTTAGACCCGAGAGGCTGAAGACCAATGTGGATCCGTACACATAGTTCCTGGAAACAGGGTCTGTGGTAGGGACTCTTATTTAAGTGGTGCAGTAAAGAAGAACTCTCTGGAGAAGGATGAAAGGAAGCAGGATGGCAAAGAGAAAGGGACCAGAAGATGGCGCCCAGGGGTGGTACAACTGCTTAGCGTGAAGCATGTTCTGGGCTTTGCTCTCTCGAGCTGCCAGGGGATGGGATAAAGATGAGCCAGTTAAGGCTTCAATTTCAACTAAGTCAGCCTGAGCCTGACTCTGTGGGGAGTTCCTAGATCACACGGCACCTGAGTCTCATGTAGTCCAGGCTGGCTCAGACTCTGTGACCCAAGGATGATACAGAACTATTGATGGTCCTTGGTGCTGAGATTGCAGGCGTGAGCCTCCATGGCTGGTTCATGCAGTGCTGTGGACTGAGGCCAGGGCTTTGTGCATGCTGGGTAAATACTCTTCCAACTGAGCTAAAACATCCCCAACCTAGGGCCAGTTAAATCTATATCAACAAGATGTGTGGAAGGGACAGGAGCTCTCCCAAGGGGAGGCTGCTGTTTAGTAGGGACCCTTCTCCAGGCGATAGCACTGAGTTGTTAGGAGCCAGCTCTCACAGGAATAGATGCATTCGAATGCAAGCGGCTCAGAGATCCCCACCACAATGGTGGTCTGTCACCTCCTGCAGTGTCTGTGCCTTAACTGGTCCTGGTCACCGTCTTTAGCATGTTCATCATCTCCACGGTGATCATCAACTGTATGTTCATGGCTAATTCTATGGACAGGACTTTTGACAATGACATTCCCGAGTGAGTACTGTCCCTGCATCCAGAAACCCTGAAGTCTTTCTTTTTAAAAGCTAGCTGAGGGGCTCGGGATGTGACTCCCTTTGGTAGACTGTTCCCTTGAAGCCCTTGGGTCCATTCCCAGCACTACAGAAACTCAGCTCAGAGGTGCATGCCGTGGTCTCAGCACTTCGGAGGTAAGGCTGGAGGATCAGAAAGATCAAGGGCATCCTCAAATAGATATTGAACTTAAGGCCAGCCTGCGCTACAGTAAAACCCTTCTCCAAAAACAAAAACAAAAACAAAAAAACAAAACAAAACAAAAAACCCCAAACACCACCACCAACCCCAAAATTTATGCTGTGAAGAACGACTGTCTCAAACTGGAGTTGAGCGGAGAGTAGAGATGGATCTTACTTCCCCGACATAAATGCCGGCAGAGTCAATTTTATTTTTGTAGATAGAAAAAAAGATGTCTTTAGAAGAATTAAAAATATTTGTACCAAGCAGCACACATGAACTTGTCATTCTTTATTCTTTGGTAATCTTATACACGAGTGTATTTAGATCCTGTGCCTCCCCTCTGAGCACATACATTTTTGTGTCTAGATTTTAGATGGTTTTCTTTGTGCCCACTTCAGCTTTATGCAGATCTATTTTGATAGATATATGATAGTTTACTTGGTAAACTGTAATTACTCAAAGCCTCTGGAATTTTAGCATTAGCTTGCCTACTGCCATCTTTTTGTATAAAGCTACTTTTAGATTATTATTTTTCTCAGGATAGATGATTGGAAAAGGGCTTTCCTGGATCAAATATGTATCATAATGCCTTTAAATACATATTTGTATTTTATATTTTGCTTATATAGTTAATATATTTACATTTTCTATTTTAAGTACATATTCATATACCAAATGTTTTCTGAGAAGTTAGTATCAGTTTATTCTGCCACCATAAGCCTAGGGACCAATCAAATCACATTTTGCATTCAAGGGGTCAAGTGGGCAAATGTTTACCTTCTTAGCCAGGCACAGTGACAGAATCCTGTAATCCTGGCAGTCAGGAGGTGGAGCAGGATGATCAGAAATTTGAGGGAAGCCTGGACTACTTAGTGAGACTTGGTCTAAAAAATATTGTTTAAAAAATACATATATTTCATGGTGGCTGGATACAAGGTTCAGGGGTCAGAAGATCACCTGCTGCTTTTATACAAGAGCCTGGTTCAGGTCCAAACACCAACATCGGATAGATTGCAACTATACATAGTTCCAGATCTAGGAGGTCTAGTGCCCTCTTGTGGCTTCTGAGTAACCTGTACTCACGTGCACGTGCCCACACATATACAGACACACATACACATAAATAAAAGTAAATCTTTAACAATAATTCTTTATATGAGTCATGACAGCACTTGTCATCCCAGAACTTTGGACGCAGAGGCAGAAGGATTATGAGTTCAAGGCCAGTCTTGCTCACATAGTGAGATTATGTAAAAAAATTTTTTTTAAAAAATATTTCTTTACACTGGGAATTGGTGTTTTGATTTTGTTAACAATCTTTGTGTGGTACATTACTTTCTGTCTTTTACTTTCATCTCTTATTTCTCTACACTTAGAGTATTTTATTTATTTTATTTTTATTTATGTATTTTAGGCATATAGGATCTTTGCTTGCATGTGTGTCTGTACCCCACATGTAGGCCAGAAGAGGGCACTGGATCCCCCAAATTAGAGTTACAGACAGCTGTCAGACTCTGTGTGGCTTCTGGGAACTGAACTCTGGTCTCCTGAAAGAATAAGCAGTTCCCTTAGCTACTGAGCAGTCTCTCCAACCCCTCTGACCCTCCTGTCTCTGTTCCATCTCACCAGAGCTAAGATTACAGGCATCCAGCACCAAGCCTGGTTTATGTGGTGCTAGGAATTGAACTCAGTGCCTTGTGCATGCTAGGCCAGCACCCACCTCTGAGACCCATCCCTAGGTGACTCCTTTCTTTGTCTGTCATTTATCATATCCATTCTTTTTATGAATGATTTGTTTTGTAGATACATCTTCATTGGAATTTATATTTTAGAAGCTGTGATTAAAATATTGGCAAGAGGCTTCATTGTGGATGAGTTTTCCTTCCTCCGAGATCCGTGGAACTGGCTGGACTTCATTGTCATCGGAACAGCGTAAGACTGTTAAAGATTTTTTGTGAGAGGTACTTGGGGTGGTAAAGACATCCCTTTGCTTCCTTTGGGGATCTGTGTGGATCTACAAGAACAGCAATGTGGCCAGAAGTGTGGGTCTCTCAGCCTAGAAGTGGTTGATCCAGGAAGAATATCAGGAAGCCACTGGCTGGAGCCTCCAGGCACACACCCATCTCACATGTTTTCCCCCATTCACTGACCAACCGTGGGTCTTACATACCAGGCTCTGTAAGCATAGAGTTGTAAAAACAAAACACACAGTAACAGAAAAGCATCAGGAATCTCACAGTTCAGGGGAAAAGCTAGGACTAATGTTAGTTACAATATGGTTGGCCGGTTACCAGGATCGGTATTTGTGTCAGAGCATGTTGGGAGAGCCAAGGACTCTGGCAAGTATCCTTGGCTACTCTGAGATCACAAAGAGTTTTATTCCAGAAGTTTTTTTTAGTTTGGGCTTTTAAGTTTAATGTTGAGTGAACTGTGGTGGTGATTTCCCACTTGGGGCCTTTGTGTTAAAGTCCAATGTGTGTGTGTGTGTGTGTGTGTGGTTGGGGGACGGTGGCAGAGTCTGTATTGGAAAGATGGGAGCAGTCCCAGAAGGTCTTAAAAACCAAGCCAAGGAGTTCATTCGGTCTTTCTGTGAGTGCTGGGGAGCTGGGAAGGGTTTTAAGGAAGAGAATGGATGTATGCTTTTTATTTGTGTTGTTTTTTGAGACTTTTTTTTGTATGTGTACACATGTATGTGCGTGCATGTGGATGCCAGAGACTGATGTTAGGAACCACCCACCTGCTCTTCCATCTTATTATTCAGGCAGGCCTCTCAATCAAACCCAGAGCTCACTGATATGACTTGTGTGTGACCAGCTTGCTCTGGGGATCCCCTGCCTCTGCCTTCCGAGGCTGGAATTACAGGTAGGAGGCCTCGTTCACCCAACATTTACACGAGTTCTGGGGATCCAAACTCTGGAGCGCATGCTTGCAGGCAAAGCACTTTACCTTTGAGCAACTCCCCAGACCTCTCACCTCACCCAACTTTTCATACTATGAAATGCATGTGGAGGTCAGAGGACAACTTCCGGGAGACTGTTCTCGCCTTCTGTCTTGTTGAGACGGGACGTCTCTTGCTTCTTTTGTATTACATATTCCAGGCTAGCTGGTCTGTGAGTTTCCGGGTGATCTCCTGTCTCTGCTTCCTGTAGGGCCATAGGAATGCTGGGATTACAGATGTGTACCACTGCATCTGGCTTTTTATGTGGGTTCTGGGCATTGGACTCAGGTCATCAGGCTCGGATGCGAGTGAGAACCTCTACCCACCGAGCCCCCTCCCCAGCCTCAGAGACCCATTTTGAATTAGTTGTACATGACTCAGGCTGAGTATTGAGATTCTTCCTTATGGAAACAAACAGTTTTGACACCTGAGTGATGGAGTACATAAAATAAATCAAGCCGGCGCTGCAGTAGTACAGCCGTTGAAGGTATTTGTGCCAGGCTCTGTGGTTAGCACTTGGCCGGGGTTTTACTCATTTCAGTCACAGATGGCGCTAGAGGGCGCTATTCATCTCAGAGTAGTACATTTCAAGAGCGCTGCTTCCCTACCATGCTCCTGGCTACTGAAGATTAAAAGCATAGGCTCCACGGCTCAGTTGGGGAAAGTACTTGCTGTGCACATATAAGGCTCCTGGGACTGAGCCCGGCACCTGTATAAAAGCTGCCGTTTGTAGTGTCTTGTGCCTATAATGCCAGCTCTAGTGAGGTAGAGACAGAAGGAGCCCATGCTTGCCCACCAGCTAGCTCAGCCCAACTGGTAAGCCCTGGGTTCAGTGAGAGACCCTGTCTCAAAAAAAGGTAAGGTGTACAGCAACTAAAGAAGACACCTGCTACCAATCTCTGGCCTCTGTGGAGACAAGTCATGTAGCCACACTGAACAGCCCTGGGCTCTCCCTGTGTTTTGTCTTCTAGGCTCGCAACTTATTTTCCCGGTAACAAGGTCAACCTTTCTGCTCTTCGTACCTTCCGGGTATTCAGAGCTCTGAAGGCAATTTCTGTTATCTCAGGTAAGCCTTTGGCTCTGAGCTAAAATGCTCTGTGGCATAAAAACATTTCTGAACCAGAGTGGTACCTGTGCCGGTGCCGGTGCTGGAGAGAAGGCGCCACAGTTAGGAGCGTTTACTGCTTTCCCAGAGGAACTGGGCTTGGTTCCAAGTACTCCCGTTGGGCAGTTCACAGCCAGCTATCTGGTTTGCTACTGTGGATGACACCACCTTAAATATGGGTGTCAGATATCTTGACTGTGTGTTGACCTCAGGTAGGCGTACACCTAGGGGTGGTGTAGCAAGATTGTATGGTGGTTCTATGTTTAGTTTTGAGGATCCCCCATATTGATTTCCATAGTGTCTGCATTCATTTCTATTCCCACCAACAATGTACAAGGATTCCTTCTCCCTCCACACGTGCTCTTCTTAGTTCTCTCTTGACTCTTTCCCTCTCTCCCTTCCTCCCTCTCTCCCTCACACCATCTTCCTCCTTCCCTCCCTCCTTCCCTCCCTCCCTCTTTCCCTCCTCCCCTCCCTCTCTCCCTCCCAAGTCAACACTTCTATAGGGGTATCCACAAGCAAACCTCCAAGCAGTCACTCACTGGCACACTCATGGTCCCTCAAAAAAGTGTTTTTCTTTCAGTGAACTTTCAGCTTGCATTTCCCTTATGGCTAAGGGTTCT